AAGGTCAAAAGTATGCCACGGTAATGGGCATAGCCATGGCTGCTGTTGACCTTCGGGCCCTGGGCATTGAAGTGTCCGGGACCCGGAGAACCCAGGCGGGGGCCGTCCTACTGGAGGTCCGGGGAACCGCGGAACAAGCGGACCTTTTGGCAGCCAAATTGAAGATGGCCCTACAGGAGATGGACGTGCGGGTTCACCGACCTTCGATGACCTGCACTGTCCTTCTCCTGGACGTGGAGGAGTGGCAGGAGGAGCGAGACGTGCACCGAGCACTTTGCACCGCCCTGAAGTCTCCTGACGGAGAACGGCCTCCGCACGTGGGACCAATCACGGTCCACACGAACACCGGCGGCAAAGGGCGGTATGCAAGGTGTGAGGTGCCCCTCAGAGTTGCCCATCGCCTGACATCGATTAACCGAGTACGGTTAGGTTGGACATCCTGTAGGCTGAGGATTCTTGATAAAGGTCCTCAGTGCTACAGGTGTCTGGAACGTGGGCACATCGCCCATGCTTGCAAAGGGCCAGACAGGTCGAAGGCCTGTTTCAGGTGCAGGAAGGAGGGGCAACAATCAAAAGACTGCCCCAGCCAAAAAGTAGGTCGGAATCAAAATCCGACCGTCAGTTGTGATGATTGCCCACCCCCACCTCCACGTGGTCAAACCCGGGCAACGGACCCTCTAGTGGGGTCCGGCTAACGGGGGGGGGGCTACGCCGTGCTGGGATTTCTCAGCGCGGTGATGTGAAGACGAAGGCGACGTAGGCCGCCCCGAAGCAATGCCTAACGGCAGTTCNGGACCGGGCTTCTGCGTTGCGGTGAGCCTGGACATCCGGAACGCTTTCAACTCCGTGCGATGGTCACACATCCTCGGAGCGTTGGAAGCGTTCCGGGTGCCTCCGTACCTCCGCCGAATGATCCGGTCGTATTTCAACGACCGGGTCATCGAGTATGCGAGTGCCGCAGGGCCCAGAACCAAAACCGTGACGGGAGGCGTCCCGCAAGGTTCGGTTCTCGGGCCCTTGCTGTGGAACATCGCGTACAACGCGGTGTTCCCCGTTCCGCTGCCACGGGGTACACGTGTAATCTGCTACGCGGGCGACACGCTCGTGGTGGCGGAAGGCACTTCGGCGGAGGAAGCTGGTTTCCGGGCAAACGGTGCGCTGTGCGCCGTCACTGACTGGATCCAGCAGGAGGGGACCGGCTTGTGCCTAGAGCTGGACAAAACCGAAGCGGTTTTTTTCACGCGAAAGTACAAGTACGTTCCTCCTAGGCTCACCGTACTGGGGACTGATGTTCCGCTGAAGCGGACCATGAGCTATCTGGGCCTGCTCATCGACGATAGGTTGATGTTCGGGCCGCACATTGAACGTGCGGCCCAGCGGCCTCAGAAGGTCATGGACCGCCTGGCGGGACTGATGCCGAATATCGGGGGACCGAAGGAACATCGACGCCGACTGCTAGTCAGCGTTGTTCACTCGGTCCTCCTTTACGGGTCCCCGGTCTGGGCGAGTATACTGGAGTACTCGCCCAAGAACGTAGAAGCGTTGAACCGGGTCCAGAGAAGGGCCGCTCTCCGGACGGTGTGCGCATACCGCACCGTATCCGGAGTGGCGGCCAGGATCCTGGCTTCTCTGCCGCCCGCGGACCTGTTGGCCGTCGAACGCGCCAACGGATACGAGCTCCGGAAGAGCACCGGTCAACTGCTTCGCGCGGAGGACCGGTTACAGCTACGGAGCGTAACCGTGTCCAGTTGGCGCCAACGATTGGCCGACGAGGAATCCGCGGGAGCGTGGACGAGGTCCCTCATCGGACCTAGCCGGCTCGACAGGTGGATTGGCCGGACTCACGGGGAAATGACGTACCGTCTTACCCAGGTGATGTCCGGTCACGGCTGCTTCAACGAATACCTTCACGGTATTCGGAAGGCAGCCGCGCCGACGTGCGATCACTGTCGGGATCGCCCAGGAGAAGTGGACAATGCTCTGCATACGCTCTTCCGGTGCGAAGCGTGGGCCAACGAGCGGGGGAACTTGGAATCCCGCTTGGGGTCCGCGTTCGGTGTGGGGTCCATGGTGGACCATATGCTGAGAAGCCGGGAGGGGTGGTCTCTGGTTCAGGCGTTCGCCGAATCGGTGATGAGCCAAAAGGAGGAGGCCGAACGTCTGAGGCAGAGACTGCCCAGGGTGGGAGTACCTGCGGCGTCGGCTAGACTGGCGCCGTAGGTGCTTGGTTTATGTGTTGTTTTTTTTTATGTTTATGTGTCCTGTATGTTTTGTGAGTTATTTTGCCCATCCCTCGCAAAGTCCTGCCCCCACGTCCACGTGGTGCAACCCGGGCAACGGATCCCGCCTTTTGGGATCCGGCTAACGGGGAGGCCACACCACGTTGTGAATCAGCTCTTGATTAATTTCGGACTGATTCACAACGTGGTGGTGTGAATTTTAGACGGCGTGGGCCGCCCTGAAGCAATACCTCACGGTAGTTCCAGGGCGGTCCACAGCATGCCGGCGGTTTAGAAATAAAAAAAAAAAAAAAACTGCTGGTGGCTTTGCTACCGTCTAGGATATCGTGGACGAATGGGAAGGCGTGTGCGATCGCTTCCGCGATGACGTGCCGCTGACCCATTCGGAGTTCACTCGATGGAGCCGATTGCTGCTCGACATGAAGGCTGGAGAAGTGTCGCTGGAACCGTTTACTTGTGGCCAATTCAGGACGGCCGAATTGCTCTGTAGTTCAGTGTCCACAATCCTGAAGCTTATGCAGAAGGACCTGGACGACGGGCGTTCCTTTGCCCCGGAAAGGGTCAAGGAATACGACCCGTTANCACAGCATGCCGGCGGTAGAGAAAATAAAAAAAAAAAGGGTTTCACCCATTATCCCGTTGCGCTGCGCTATTGTGTCGGCGTGATCGGGCTCTACGGGGCTACGAAACGTCGGCACGAGCGCAGCGTCCCTAGCTCGGGGAATCGGGCGCGTCCTCAGGTTGCGGATAGAGGAACGGCCTGCAGATATGCAGGTTAGCCGCGAAATAAGCAGTCCATTCATTTGGACTGACGAATAAGCGGTCGCGGACNTGGCCAATTCAGGACGGCCGAATTGCTCTGTAGTTCAGTGTCCACAATCCTGAAGCTTATGCAGAAGGACCTGGACGACGGGCGTTCCTTTGCCCCGGAAAGGGTCAAGGAATACGACCCGTTAGAAGGCGTAGAAGACATCGAGCAGAGAGCGGAGATCATTGATGGATGCATTACTGGTCGTTGAGGGGAAGCTGCGGTGGAACGTCCTAATGGCGTCGTCCGCCTGGTCGCCTCTGAGCTCTTATCCCGCTACAACGATAGCGGGATAATGAGGACCATGGGGCGCGGGCTTCAACAGGCCGCAGAGTACATGATGTACGCTGAGAAACAGGAAGTCTCGTCATCCCCTGATGCTGCGGCTGCGGCAGAAGAGGACGAGATGATGCGGACGGGCGACCGTGGTGGAAGCACTGAACTCTCCCCTGGGGAAGGCTCATCGACTCGTCAGCGAGCGGAATCGCCCGCGCTGAGTCCACTACCGGAAAGTTCTCCCCCATTGCGCCATCCTGGCAAGAGGAGGGCGCCTCTGGGGGAAGAAGAGGCGAGCGACGACGAGGCCACGTTTGATGTCGGCCTCAACCACGTTGTCGCTATCGCCAGAACCGCTGAGGTCGAGGGAAGTCTGATGAAAGAGGTCACGGACACACACCTGGAGTACCTCGTTCAGCAGATCTCCCTCTCGTGTCAGGCCCTTAGCGAGCTGAGGAGTGCTGTGCGGCCGTGCCGCAAGAGGTGGCATGACCCGGCGGACGTGGCGACTGCGACGTCGTCTATGCTCGAAGGCATAGCCGCGCAAGTGGCTGTGCTTCGAGGGGTTATAGACAAACGCCGGGGTATGGGGGTGCACAAGGAGGTGCAAATGGCGACAAAGCACCTGGAGGAGATCCTGGATGAGGAGAAACGCAGAAGGGCGTCTCCTTCGTCCAGGATCCACCAGGAAGTCTCAGCGGTGTCCAAAGCCGAGCCGCGGGCGCCGGAAGTAGCGCTCCCGAAAACGGCCAAGGAAGTCGGGACGCAAACGATCGTCGAGAACCCACCGGCCTTTATACCAAAAGGACCCCAGGTGTCTGAGAAGAAGAGAAAAAGGAAGAAGAAACGGCCCGCTGCCGTGGGTACTACCGCCGATTTGGTTGTTGCGCCCAACGAGACGCCAACCGACCGGTTGGCGGTGAACCGGGAAAACGACGTGGAGTCTGAGGAGTGGGATGTGGGAGCTGCTCCCGCTAAACAACCACTGTGGACCCAAGTCGTAGGACGCAAGACGGGTACCAGGAAGAAGAAGGAGGATACGACGGCTGAGTCCAAACCTCCGCAGACGACGTCGAGAATCCAGAAAGCGGCGAAACTGCGGGCAAAAGTGCCACGCACGGAAGCCGTGTATTTAAATGACCGGTATGAGTTATAATCGTTAATTTCGAAATATAAAGTGGCGGTAGAGAAGTGAGAAAGCCATACAGCAGATAACTTCAAATAAAAATTTAAAGAAGATAGGACAATGCGAACACGCCGCAATTTTTAATAATTAGTTTATTAGTATCAATTAATCAATCAATCAGTAGTTATTATGATATATCTACCGCATAATAATATAATATATATAATTAACTCACCTGCACCAAATCATATAACTTTTTGGAATATTTTGGAAGTCTGTGGTGGACGATACGTCTTTAAAGCCGTCCCACTAATTTCGATGAACGTGTTAGAAAAATATATTTAAATTTTTTGTTTAACGATTTTCTAAAATTGAGTGACAGATTAATTAACTTAATATCACTGATACTTAGAGTTTAAAATGCTTACTATAATTAACCTAACAAAATACTACAACGAGTAAGAGTGTTGCACCGCAAAACACACTTTATTTTACCATGAAGTATTTGATGGTAATATAGTAATTTATTATCTTAGCTCGTTCTTGAAATGCATTACACAGTATACCACAAACCAGGTTATTGTTATACTCATTTTCACAAACGGTTTTCGCCTAAATTTTTTGGTTGTATAGAATAGTTTTACTTATTCTATTTTCTTGGAAAAAAAAATTTTGCTATAATTAAGATTTTTTTAAATCTTTAGACTCCTGACATATATTCTACTAAAATTAAATATTAACAATTGATTAATAATAAAAAGTAAATAGTTAAAAGAAAAAAGTAAAGAGATTTTTTTTTTTTAAGATCATCATTTACTCTTCTGTGTAGCTTTATAAGCCAACTGACAAATTACAACATTAAGTTTCTTATTGGATTGAGTAGTATGGCTACAGCAGGAGTTATGAAACTTAAAATTAACTCAATTGGTTTAGGAACGTCTAATTTTATATTAGTTGGAATCATAATAGCAAAGCAAAGTTCAAGACTAATTGTTTCTAAAAAAAGTAAGTTAAAAATAATTAATTCTAATATTTAGTACGCAAGATGAATAGACTACTATAAATGTGTTGTTGATATTTAATTGACAACAGAAAATTTGTTACTTCATAGAAATTATTAATATTTTTTAATATTAATTTTAAAATTGTAAAAAAGAATAATTATTAAAAGTATATTGTCAAAAATAATATTTTCTAAAGAGTGCAACAGATTTAACTGAAAACTCTTATAAATTTTAATATAATTAAAATATTGCTGTAATTTTTTTTAACAATTATTGCTATTTGTGACTAAAATTTTTATAAAAATATTACAATATTTTTTTTTAAGTAAAATAAATATTTTTTGGAGAGATGTAGGCTTCCACAATTATTGTGCCCTCTTGGCCGTTGACCTCTCAACCCGCCCCTGACTATAATCTTATTTAGTATAATATAATAAGTCAAAATATTTTTGACTAGAGCTTAATCGGTGCAATCGAAATTTTATCAATAGCTCACCTTACTAATCTGGGCCTGTAAAAAAAAAATGCAGACAGATTCCCCAAAATAATGTCCTTATTACACCAGTATAATAATGATGAAAAATTGGAGTCATAATCCAAAATCAAATAAAAATTATTTTTAGATTCTTAAATGTAATAAATTCACTTTTTTGACAAATAATTGTTTTCTAATTAAGATAATAAAACTTGGTACGTATTTTCATTTACAATACGTGATTCGCCTGAAGATTTTCTTAATATAACTGCTTGGGGTTCATACAAGTATATAACAAAAATGAAAAATACCTTCAGAATAGGAGATGTCGGTAACTAGAACGTTAATTCATAGAATTATTTTTTATTAATATTATAGTATATAGTATATAGTATTTAGGAAGTAAGGAAACGGGTTTCTATTAATCTCATTGTTTGTAACAATTTATCTGTTTCCTTACTTACTGAACACTCTTTATATGTTATAACAAATTTTGCTTTAGTGGATATAATAAATGCAAAAGTAACGGTGAAGCCAAATGAAGGTCAATTTGATCGATTTATGCCCACAGTGACAAGGTAGGTCAAAAACTTATGAAAAGTTACAAAACATAGTCTTAATTTAAACAAGAATCGCATCTAAGGGGAACAGATTGCGATGCAGAGAAAAATTTTATCAAGCAAAATAAAAAGCTCATTAGAATCGGCAGGATTTAGTACACGGGCAGCATAGTTCCTAAATGTGGCCTTTATTTAGTTTATGTACATTATTCACTCGCCATAACATAATCGCTACTAAAATTTCATTTTTGGAGCTACTACTTTAATTTTTTCTCTTTCTTAAATTTTTTTGTATAAAAAATGAGCATATAAACCTTTTTAATGACATTTTTTTTAAGTTGCTTTTCTTTGACCCTGTATGAAAACTGTTCTCAAATAATTGCACATGACAAAAATGATTCAATCCAATATCATTATCTTATGAAATTACCAACCCAATCACTTAGTAACTATCTAGTTATTGCTGATATTCATTCAAATGGAAAAACTTTTTGTGGAAAATATTGCAGTCTTATGGTAGCAGTAAGACATGTAAGTTAACAATAATACAATTTTTTTTAAATTATAATTTGACTTTAATAAAAATCAAACAAATAATATCAGCTTTTTCTGTTATCATATTGTTTAAATTATTATAAATAAAATAAATCACATTTTAAGGTGCACAGTACCAAACATATAAAAACAAAAACTAGTGTTGATTGTATTTTAAGGGAGATCACAGTTATGGACAAAACACACTCATCTTTGATTTTATTAATTTGGAATAAAGAAGTAGTATATAAGTCTTATTCTTGGATTCCAAGACAAACAAGTAATTAAATAATTAATTGTTATAATTTTAAAATTATTTAAATTAAACAAATATTGAAGTAAATGTGAAAAATTCATGAAAAATAATGATATCCAATTAACAGTTTTACTTTTAGAGAATGTACGATTTGATTGGAGTGAGTTTAAAAAAAATATGATTGCTATAGTGACTAGTAAAACAGTTATTACAGAAAATCCAAGTATAAAAGAAGCAGAATCATTAAGAAACTTTTCAATATCATGTTCTATTGGTTCATCAGTAAGAATTAACATTTCAAGTATAATTCCTGATGGTGAATACAAATACTTAAAATTAGTAGATATTAATATTATAATTATTAAATGACAATTATTGATGATGATCAAGTCAAATTTTATAAAATAGTGACAACTATTGTCAATGTAATGTCATGCAAAAATATCAAGTTAAAAATGGATATGGAAGGAATGCAAGAATTCACTGCTATTGTATATGCAGTGATAACTAAATTTAATATTGATGAACTTAAGAATTCAGTAAAAAAAAAATGGTTAATTTTTTAATAATGAAATTTTAATATTCCTTTTATTGAACTAATGACACTAAAATTAATTATATAGTAAATTATGTAGCACAATAGTACTAAATGACTATGAAAATTGTCACAATTTTGAGTGTATTTCAAATATGACATTAAAATATGGAGTAGAAAATATTCAAAGTGTATTTAATGTTCTGATTTCTTTAACTGATTCAACTGGAACTTTAGAAAACTGTCAATTAACTGAAATTGTTGCAACTAACATTTTAGGATCAGTAAATTAACACTTTATTTATAAATAAAATATCAATGAAATTTGATGACATAGCTAATATAATTGTTGACACATTATCTAGGTAGAAGATTATAAAAAAATGGATTGTTTACAAAAAACAGATCTTAAATGGAAATATCTCTTAACAAACTGTGCTGTAAAATTAGTTATTCCTAAAAATCAACTTGATAAGAAATCAATAATTTCAGTTGTAAGTATCAGAAATGAAGGAAACATTTCTCAATATGTATCAGAAATACCTCTTTTTTAATCAAAAATTATTTTTAACATTTTATGAGTGACCATTTCAATGTTAGTCAATCAATTCAAATTTCAAAATTTTGTAAAATGTCTAACATCTAATTTTTTTTTAACTTTAAGCAATCTATTCATGTTAATTAATATTCTTATACATATATTTATAAATAATATATAAATTAAAAATAATTTTAAATAGTATTTATAACTACTACAGATCAGTTACAAATAAATTACTTCTAAGAATAAAAACTTAACATTTGAGTGTATGTATTTAAAGAAAATACAAAAAAAAGTTATTGAAAATGAATTCCCTCTTTATTGAAAGCAAGCAATAACCTAAAAATAAAAAATAAATATTTGTCTTAATTAATTCAGTACAACAGAGTGGAAGTATCACAAATTTTTTTGGAGAATAACTTGAGACTTTTTTGGAAAGCTCAATAAATAAACATTACAAAAGTAGTTAATATTCGAATAAAATTTAAATTGTGATAGTTTATCTCTGAAATATAAAATTCATACATTATAATTATAAAATATGAATTTACTTACTCAATGAATTCATCTATATCCATTTTTCTTGCTCTTTTTTCACAAAAATTATTCATATTCAAAATATTATCCAACTTCTGTTTAATGTCAAAGTTTTCTGGTATTTCCTATTTATTTGTTTTGTATTTTAAAATTTAAAAAATAGAACATTAATTCATTAACATAACATATTTTGAACAAATATATAATTATATAAAAAAAACAAAAGAAAATATTTCTCATTATTTAATTATAAATTTATACACAACTAACCTGATTTTTCAAAGAACAATACACTCTGTAATTTTTTTCTAAAGTTATAGCAACAGCATTTTGTTTAAAAATTGCACCAAGGGTCTTGTTTTTTCTTGAAAATGCTATTCTAGTTAATCCATCCCATTCTTGAAAATTAATAGGGGGTGGGGGATTCCGAGGTTCAATTCTTACTACATTAGATTCTACTTTAGGTGGGGGTCTAAAATTATTTTTTCCAACCTAAAAAAATTAATTAACTCATTTCAAAAAATATATATAATTGATTTATATTAGTGATAGTAAGAATTTAAAGTTTTTACAGCTATTATTTTTCAACTATAAATTGTGTTTCTATAAAAAAAATACCCATCAAAAATATATACAGAACTCAAAATTACCAAGTTATTTTATTTATTATAAATTTAATTAGCTTTTATAGTTTATATAACCCTCGATTCTTATTTATAATTATAATAAAAAAGACACATAAGTTAAGCATGTTGACCAGAAAATTTCAATAGAGAATTTAAAAGTATTTGGTCCTAATTTATTTTCCATAGAAAAAAATTCCAAGCTTAATTTATCTACATCCTAATACCTTAAAGGTAAAAAGGGTAGATTTAAATAAAAGTGCACGTAAGTGGGTCCGAAGAGTAATTTTGTGACTAGTTTTTTTTGTAATTTGACTCTTAATTTAAAGTAACAAACAGCTTTCTGTAGGTCTGTTTGTTAAGTGTTCAAAAGTTTTTGTCTTTATTTCATACTACTTTAAAAAAATAACTGCTGAAAGTAAACACAAAATCTAATTAGGTACCTGGCTATTAAGTAGTTTATTAATTGTTACATCTATAAATACACATCATTTATATTATTCAGATAAAGATTTACAGAAAGATAAAAATACAATATAATCTTCTTTTTTCTTTTCCTCGCCTTAATCCCAACTACTTGGGATTGGCCATCCCTATGCTAAACTTCCATTTGACACAATCTCCCAAAATACAATATAATAATAATAATTATTTCAACACCTAATAGTTCATACTTGGTAAAAAAATTTTTAGTCAGCAGGGCCAGAAAAAAATTAGAATAAATTTACGGTAGGTCTACTCTGACATTAATTATATCAGTTGATAACAAATTCCAAACATAATAAAGTTATAAACCCCCTTTTACTATACTTTTTAATAACTATCACTAGAAATTATTAAATGTTAAGAATTATAAATATACAAACAAAAATTATAAGCAATTTTATATCTATTAATCTCTACCTACTTTTCAAAATTTAAAGAGTACATACATCTTCATTTTACATTATGTATTTTAAAAAAATAACCAAAAATTTGTCATATTAAAATATAATATTATATTTGTTCAACATACTTTCATTATAAGATCAACTCTAGCTAATAACTGTGTGTTGATAGATAACCGACAATATAATTTATCACCAGGCTTAGCTACTAAACGGTATGCAAATTCTCTTTGAAACATAAGTACAGCACACCGGAAAAAAGGCCTATATTAAGTAGATTCAATAAAAATCAGAAAATATTATTGTTATAAATAAAAAAAATAATTACCTATGAAGTAAAAGTTTAAAAACTAAAGGTGATGATATTTGATATGGAATGTTTGCAACACAAACATTAAAAAATGGTAATTCAGATTTAAGTACATCTCCAACTCGAATTTGTAATTTATTTTGATATTGAGTATTTATAACACGTTTTTTCAACTCGGCCACAAGACTACACATACAAATTATTAATTAAGAAATTCATTAACAAATTAAATAATTTAAATAGAAGAATAATTTTAAATGAACAAATATATTCATTTATAAATTAAGTTTTTCTAATTATTTTTTTACCAATTCAGATTATATTCTTGAATGTGATAATATAAAAATTTGAACAGAAAAATATTTTTGATGTTACAAGAAAAAAATGTGTTTTATAAATAATTTATAAATTACTAATTAAAGTAATTACTACTTTAATTAGTAAAGTAATTTTATAATTATATTGAATTGATAAGAATTATCATTAAAAAAAAGTATTTGTTACGTTAACTCACCGTATATCTATTTCACAAGCAATAACAGTTTTGACTCTTTCTAAAAGTTTGACAGTAAGATTACCCGTTCCTGGACCTATTTCTAATACTGTATCTGTAGGTAATAAGCCAGATTTATCAACCATTCCTTGAACAATTAAAGGATTCTTCAATATGTGTTGGCCATAGTCCTTCTTGAACATAATGCCTATATAATTTTGTATATGTATAATAATTACAGTGGAAATTTTAAATTATTTAACAAACCCTAATTTACCTTGTTTGCCATAGGCACTAGGTCCTTTTTCTTTTTTTACTTTAGGCATTGTGTAACTTATTTAAAATTAAATATGTACTTATTTAAACAAGTTTAAATTGTTCTCTGTATTAACACTATGATCAAAATATGAACACACGTTTTTTTAATTTCATGGTGTTAACAATGTTATTGTGATAACACATCTCACTATCATCAATTAATGGTGAATATCCCAGATATATTTATTATAAGCTTACGGTATGCCACAAACTGATAATGTTCCTATATTATAGAAAAATTCTCCAACAACACTTACTGCGAATATCTGGTTACAAAAATTTGGATTTAATTACGATGAGAATTATTCCGAAAAATACAATTAATTGATTGCTTCGAATAAAATTTACTTCAATTGTCAATAAATCGCAAAATTGATTACTAAAATTATCAGGGGTGTGTACGAATCGGGAACAATTATTCGGTAAAATAGGTATTTTATGATGAAATATTTATTCAGTACTGGAATATTTGTTGGAATGATATTTAATAGGAACGTAAAACATCAGGAACCGTACTTTTCGGAATTGATATAATGCAGGAATGATAAAAATACCATTTTGGACTATATTATTAACATCTTGTATTATTTCGGAAAATAATAAGTACTAAATTTACATACACGATATTGATCAGTAACCAGAATTTTGAATATTTTGATATAAAAAAACAGCTGTAAAATATAAACTTGAAGTTTGTTGAAGTATAATTTTTTTAACAATAGAAACCCTTTTCCGTAGACAAATATAGTAGGAAACCGTAGTGTTACAAAACCCCCTCGGAACGTAAAGTTAAATATAGTAACAAAAAAATAATAATTTTTTTTTTGATGTTTTAAATTATTTTCCTAGAACCCCTTCCCCTATTAACTAGAATATCGAAATAAAAAAGATTTTAGAATAGATAATAGAAAGATCAGTGTTTACCTACATTTTCACTGTAGGTACAGTGAATACTTAAACCTACGAGTATAAATCCTGTACTTATAATACACGTAAACCCAAACAATGAATACAATTTACCGATTTTACCACAGACTATATGAAAACTATATTTTCTTATAGTTTGTAGTTCTACAGTTATTAAGAAATTAACCGTCTTTTGAAAATCAGGTCATCGCCATATTCTGATTTTATTACAATTGATAAATTGTAATAAAATATTATTAATATAAATATTATAATATAATTCAATATCATAATAAAAAATACCAAAAATAATTGTCTTAAAATAATTATTTTGAAAGGAATTGAGGAGCTAGTGTTAAAAGAATCACTTTGCGTCATATATCGATGTGTACTAATTTAAAATGTTTGTTTTTATTCAAGGCCATGTTAACATAAGTTCAAATCATGAATAGTAACAATTATTCATGGGTACAAATGAAACATTTACTCTAGGCAGTAAAATTAAAATTATATATCTTATATTATATTTTTAGTTTGGATACATAGGATAATGGGGGAAACAAATATTATTTGCTGTGGCCATAGGTGTAACTTTAATAAAATGTGTTGTAGGGACTCATATGTAACCTCCCTAACCCAAGTTTTTCTTAATATATTCTATTATATATGTAATTTCTCTCAAATTTTGGAGTGCCCAAGCTACTCACCAATTTGCGCATATGGTTGTGGGATGGTATTGATTCTCACACGATCTTATGAGATGAGCCAAAAAAACTTTAAAAAAATATGTAAAAATTGAATTTTTATTAAAATTATATTGGAAAATATGCATAAAAAAAAATTAAAGTATTAGTCTTTTATGCTTGGACAAATAAATATACCTAAATTGACAAGAATGAGATAGCTCTGGAGTGCACCAATAAATAAATTTATAAAAAATTAAATGATTATAGATAACAAAAAAATATTTTTTTATCTCATTACTTAGTCATATTTGTGCAAAATATGATAAAATTGATTTATCTTCAGAATAAAATTAACTTCTTAAAAGTACTACTATATTATAATCATAATCTACTATAAAGAAATTAAAACTCTATTTTCAGTATTTAAAAGTTATAGTGTTAATAAAGTAAATATTTTTATTTACATTTTTAGTACAAACTATCTTCAATACAGAATTGGTTTGATTTTTCAAATCATGAGAAACTATGTTGATTAATGTTATAAATATTACAACACAATTAAATGAACATAGTCAACTTAAATACAATTAAGTGTAAGAATATAAATAAATTTAAAGTTATCATAAAAAAAATGTAATGTGTTTGTATAAAAATTATTATTATACCATAATCACACATTAACTATTAGACAATAAATAATAAATTCACAACAGTTCAATAAATTAATGAATAAATCATAAACAAATCAATAAATAATTTTTAAAATAAAAATATCTAACACAACATAAAATTTAGTTAAAATTAGAAATATAAATAAACTAGCGCTATATCAAATAAGCTTAATAATGCTCAATAAATAAGTTTTTCTATACAACTATATTTAATTTAGAACTAATAATTTACAAATAAATATTTTTAAAAAATTAATCAGTTTTTATTTTTATTTTGAATAAAAAATAATAAGTATCAACCTAATTATAATACATGATACCAACTTAATGAAAATCAGTAGATAGGATGCCTTTTGGTTCTGAAATGAAACCAGATTCCAGAAATTTTGATACAAGATTATTTAAACGAGTAATGGGTCCTCCACAGCCTTTAGGAGTAATTAGTTGAATTTTTTTTTTGTACTCATTCTTTATATACTTCAACAATTTTATAAATTGAATGCCATAAATTTTGTGCATAGCGAATCCGGCAATTTGTAGAAACTCAACTAATATAGTAGCTGTAATATCAACTAATGGATTTTTATTTAATATACCTGCTACCAGAGTCCATGCATGTGCAAGACCTAAAACTATTTGGTTGCTTTTAAAAGAAGTGATTATTAAAGCTGCATAAAACCGTACAATACCTATCATACGCTTTAAATATTTATCTTGGTTTTCAATGTTGCCAGCAGAGTCAATTTTGTAACCAAGCAATTGATAGTCTTGTTGTTCACTAACATTTTTCACTGCACGACAACAAAAAGGTACTAATATAGGACATTTTCGTTTGATTTCCGAATAGAGAATTTTACCAAAATCTGGATAGTTTACCCAAAGTTTAACAGCAATATTTGCCATGTCAAAAGCAGCTTGAGTTTTTACACTTACAACTTCCTCAGCTTGATTTAAGAATTTTTTCGCTAAAATATTCATACAAAATGATAGAGCATCTTTATTTTGACCAATCATGACATTTGTATTTGCAACACACACAAATCGACCACCTAATAATGCATTTAACTTATTATATTTGTCGGTCAGATGAGCTACAGATGTAGATGATATAGTGTTTACAATAGTATTAGTAACTTTAGCTATGTTCTGTCGTTGTGATTTTGTTGCTGGATCAGTTGCATATGGTAAATTTTCTATAACAACCAGATTTTTTATTAATGCATCGTTATTTTTAACAAGAGCAACATACTGTCGTTTGACATTTTTAATAACACTCTTGTCTGGAATATTTACTGAAAATTTTCTCAATGGGTTTCTTTTATTGTCAATTTTAGTAGTACAAGGTTCAGATTTTGTTTCATTTGTTTTTACCACATTATTATATAACAATGTGAGATCATTTAACAAGCTATAGGATTCTACCAAAGTAGATTCTTCGATAACATTAATAGTTTTTAGAATTTTTATTCTAGATTGTAACAATTGGTAAGTGTCAATTTGTGAATCAAATTGTTTATCCTCGAGTTCACAAGTTATTCTATCAGACAATGATACACATCTTTTAATGGATGCATTAAAGCATATTTCTTTGAAACGTTCCTGAGGATTAATTGTAAAAGCATTTTCGATTTGAGTGCGCTTCTGAATTTGTTCCAAAATGAATTTGTAATTTTCTTTTTTAATTGAGATTTCATTACGCTGAAATTTGGGCTTGAAAGATATATTATATTTTCTATTTCGCAACATTTCTGTTCTCTTCTTTTGCCATAGCTCCACTTTTTCATGTATTGCTCGTTGAACCATTGTTTTTCGCATTGTTTCTAATTGCATACAAGCGATTGAACGTATTTCTTTTAACCATTTAAATTGTCCATCGGTTTCAACGGAAACCAATTTCGAAGAGAAGTTGTCGACCGGCTCGACATAGTTCTCTTTAAAATAATAACTATTGACGGCGGCGAATTTCTCTTTCACCAACTTCAAATGATTTTCATATACAAATGACGACCACGAAACATACGGGTTATGAATTTGTTGACTGCATGTATTCTGGTGTTGTAAAAATGTTGAGTGGTTGTCCAAATGATAATTGAAACAAGGCGAGTTCGGCGCCATTCCGGCGTCAAAAACGATAAAAAAAAAATATAATAAAAAAAAAAATCTAAATATGTTTAAAATATTTGATGCAAGCACTCACGTGTTTTTTTTAAGTGGAATATAAATATTTCAACGTAACATTTATCAGGATCGCGAACTATCGAATAGACTTAAAGCGCACTCATCAAAGACTGAGTTGGTCAGAATTGTAAAATTTCCTACTAGTCAGATTATACTAGATCGTTGATGCTCCATCCATAAATAAATTTTCAATTCGAATAACCGAGAACCACATAGCAATAATTGTAATCAGACATAATTATTGTTTCAATAAGAGTGAAATCCCATATTTCTATTGGACAAAGCTATTTATATTTACTATTTACTGTACGATTGACGTATTGTCAATCCGTAGAAAATTTGTTTTTATCTGTTTAATGAAAAAAAACTTATACATTTTCAATGTATGAAAAATGATCTTTTTTACAGAATTAATTATGAATACATTATTTCAATCGGTGATAAACTAAACATTTTAATTACAATGAAAAAACGTTACTTGATAGTTTCTCAAAATCAGTATATTAATAATTTTTAGTTTAGCTCTATCATTATATAGTCAAAATTAATTAAGGATTTAACATAAAAATGTTGAAAATTAAGCAATTACATAAAATATACTTTTTCTAAATTTAATAAAAATATTACATTATAATTTAAATATTTTAAAATGGCTATTATATTATATTTATATATGACATATAGCTTGAATATAATATTCCCACCAGGTTTTGATATCTTTAACAACTTTTTATCCAGTTTTATATGTTAATATCATATTTATATTAATATCATATTTAAGTTTTTTTACTGTTTGGACTACCCATTTTTTTGCATATTTTTTATTACTTGTCTGTATTAAGAAAAGTATATTTTTATTTTTTAAAAATTATATTATGGCTATTTTTTAGTTATTTTCTTGTAAAAAGTGTTGATGCGTCGATAACAATTTTAATATAAGTACTTATTGTGAGTTACAAGCATTTTAATACATAGAGTGGGTATATAACGCAGGTGGGTACAGCCATACTGGTAATTTTATAATGTTATTTACATTTAAAAGCATGTACTAAAATGTTTGTATCTCAATAATTAATTATCCTAAAATTGTTATCTACATGTCAACATTTTTTATAAAAAAATAATTAAAAAATAGTTATTTTTATATTTTGAAAAATATAAATATATTTATTAAAATATATATATATATATATTTATTTATTAAAAAACAAGTATAGATGTTATCTGACACTTATTAAAATTACTACATATATTATAAAATACGCTTCGAGGCATATCTGTAGATAGGATTTAATTTTTAGATTATTCCAAAAACATTAATCCTCATTTTCTTAATTATATTCTGATTACAAATTTTGTTAATTATTGTTGCAATACATGAATAAATACTTATTAAAGTAATTAAATTTAGTATGAAACAGATATTCAATTTTTATAATGTTTTTTTACAGAAAAATGATTAAATTATTAAGTATTTGTATATTTCTTTACCTTAATGGCAAATGTGTATCAAAATTGTAAATCTGTACTTATAAAATTAAAATTAAAATATAAAAAGTTAACTTTTTAATTCGAATGTTTTTTTGAACGTTAATTATTCGTTAGTTATAATTTATAATAAGCCGTTGTAGCTAGTACTTTTGTAAAGCAGCCCCCTTCTTTTAATATACTTATTGCATTGTCATTAAAATATTTTTTATTTATATTTATTTTTTTTTAGCTTCGATGCGAAGCTGAGAAGGTATTAATTTTACTATGATGTGTTTTTTTTTTTTTATAATTATTTTTTTTTGTGTCTGTGAACACTCAATCTCAGCTCTCGCTGGACCGATTTTGATGAACAATATGTCAAAAGATCACAAATCGTATCTAGTCGAAGACATTACCCTCAAAAATTGAAAAAAATTCCCTCGTTCCCCGTAAACGGGGGAAATCCCCCAAAAAATTACAAATTTAAAAATCGCTAATTTTCGATATTTTTTCANTTTTTCTCTATTTGTGTGTGCTACTACTAGACTATAATATTCAAAATTTTTTGGTAACATGTTGCTATATAAATCATTTCTAAAAAAAATGATTTTTTCTCCTGAATTAACAATTGATTTTTACAAATATAATCAAATTTTATAGTACGCTTTTGAGTAGATCTTTTTAACAACTTTGTTTTGATTTAAAGTTAAAGTAAATCATTAAAATGAATTAAGTTCTCAATATTTCAATTGTAGAATCTTTTCAAACAACAAAAGTTACTGGGAAATTAACACTATTACTCCATTTAAGTTATCTATTACCATAAAAATGCAAAAAAATATTGAGCTTTTCTGATAAATTTACAATAAATAGTAATTATAAAACTTTCTGACTGCATATTGATCTTAACGATACAATTTTTTTAATTGTCATAAAATTTTCTATTTAATTATGTCAATGTCAAACTTACCAATTGAGCTAAAAGTTATGGTAAAATAAATTTTTTTTTTTTTTTATAAACATTTACAACAATCAACTTTAAACGATTAACAAAATAGGTTAAATATGTCATTTTCCTTATTTTTAACTTATTAATAATCAAATTAATATTAAATATTATATCAAATCAGTATTAATTTAAAACAATTTTTTTTGTTCTTAATTATTTTTTTTTATATGTAAAAACTATTTTTTAATAATATTAAAACTTAGAAGTTATAGAAAAAGTCTAATTGCACATTTTAAAACATCGCGAAAAGTTGATTTAGAATAGTATATTTTTGTTTCTGATGGAAGTTCCTTGTAGTCCAGTGTATAAAACTTATAACTTTGTTAATTGTTATAACTTTATCAAAAATGACCAAATCAGTATATTTTTTTTTATTTAGATGCATGTCTTTATCTATCATTTGGTTTTTTTTATAAATCTAACCCTTTACCTGCCCACAAGAGGGATTCAAAATATTAACTTTTTTTTTTTTAGTTAAAGTAAATCATTAAAATTAATTCAGTTCTGGATATTTCAATAGTAGAATCTTTTTAAATATCAAAAATTACTTAGAAATGATTACTATGATTTCTATTTAAGTGTTCTATTACGATAAAAATGCAAAAAATAATGAGTTTTTCTGATAAATTTACAATAAATAATAATTATAAAACTTTCTGACTGCATATTAATCTTAAAAATAACATTGTTTTAATTCTCATAAAATTTTCTATTTAATGATTCATTCTAGTCAACGAAGGAGTAATTTTGCAGAATAGCAGAAAAAATTCCCAACAAACTTTTTTTTTTTTTGTTTTAATTAGGCAATTGGTGGATTATTCCAAAAGCAACATCAACTCTTATTTCTTTAATTATATCATGATTAGTAGTTCTTTGATTTTAAAATATAATATTTGAATATATACTAATTATAATTATTAAATTTAGTATGAAATTGATATTTAATATTGTAATTTAAACGGAGAAATTATAAAAATAATAAAGAAGTTATATTTTGCTTTACTTTTACGTGTATAAAAATTTAAAGGGCTTGATACAATAATTTTCAATAAAAACTGTTTGTTACTATAAAAAAATGCACTGGACTACAAGGAACTTTCATCAGAAGCAAAAATATACTTTTCTAAATCAACTTTTCGCGTTGTTTTCAAATCTGCAAGTAGACTATTTCTATCACTTCTAATTTTTTATATTATTACTAATTATATATATAAAATAATAATTAAAAGAAAAAAAAATTTGTTTTCAAATTATTACTGATTTGATTTTTAATATGTTAAAAATAATCAGTCCAAATTTTCAATTTTAACCTATTTTTTTGGTTCTTTAAAGTTGATGAAAAATTTTTGATAAAGATTTATGAAAGTTTATAGTAAAATAAATTGAATATATTACCATAACTTTTAGCTCAATTACAAGTTTAAAATTGACATCTAGGCCAGTCAACAAAGGAAAAATTGCGGAAAAAATTTTGTTTTTTTAAAAGTTGAATTAAAATATGTATAATGACATACTAATAGTCCTCAAGATTGGAATTGAGCTTTTTTTTTAAATCCTCGCAAAAGTTCAAAAATATGAGCTTTCTTAATTTTCTCAAAAAAAAATATTTAACTTACAAAAAAAAGTTTCGCACAAAAGTTGTTTAAAAGACAATTATAAATAAAAATATAATCTTATATTTTTTCATTTAAACAAATATTTTTCGAGTTACATTACATTTAATATGAGTACTAAAATTTATATTCCATTTTATTCATTTTACTATTACTTTTTATCATGTTATACTTACACTAGACACAATGTTATAAATGCATATGTGTGTATGTGTGAGTTTATTTATTTATTGTATCATTAAAGTGTAGTGTATATTAAGATACAACCGATAGAGTAGGTAATTGATTTGACGCTATATTATTTAAACCCAACTAAACGTTAAATTGTACATTCCCAAACAACAATCATATTATGTCAATTGCCACCGGAATATCTGGTAATATTTTTCTTTTTCTATGTCTTAATCCCAATTACTTGGGGTCGGCCACACTTATCCTAAGATTCCACTTGACACGATCTCCCACATCTTCTACGCTCACATCAGCTGTCCTCAAATCGCATTCAATAGCATCCCTCCATCTCTTTTTTGGTCTTCCTCTATCTCTTCTTCCTTCAACATTCATTTCTATAACTGAAATTCAGCTTACATTCTTACAGCTTCCGATTCTTCTCTCGTCATAGCATCACTAAACAATCTAAGTCTATATTCTGTCATCTTATCTACGATTGACGCAACACCTATACTTTCTCTTATATGTTCCTTATCCTATCTTCTCTAGTCACTCCACTCATCCAACTAAGCATTCTCATCTCTGCTACACTTATTCTCTGCTCTACTTTCTTATCAACCGCCCAACACTATNTGCTCGTTCCTTATCCTATCTTCTCTAGTCACTCCACTCATCCAACTAAGCATTCTCATCTCTGCTACACTTATTCTCTGCTCTACTTTCTTATCAACCACCCAATACTATGAACCATACATCATAGCTGGCCTCACAATTTCATACTGAATTTAAAAACTATAATTAGTATTTATTCATATATTATATTTTAAAATCAAAGAACTACTAATCAGGATATAATTAAAGAAATAAGAGTTGATGTTGACACAATCACAAAAAAAAAAAATTATTACATGGTAAAATTAATACTTTCTTAGCTTCGCCTTGAAGTAAAAAATAATAATCTAATCATTGTTAATTGATTATGATTTAATATTATTTAAAATTAAATTAGTTATTAGTCTTTAGTAACTGGTAGTGTTTCATTACCGCACGTTCATGTTCATATTTGGTAAACGTCACGCGGACATCATTCTTTTTTTCAGAAAGAATGTGAACATGAACGACATTCTCATTTTTTATGAACTTGAACAATTTAAGGGTTTTTTTATATAATAATTTATAATGATATTATGGTTTCTATGAATTCATGACGAATAGGCATAATAAAATTATGTAATAAAAATTATAAATAGTAAAATATACTCATTAAATAATAAGGTACTATATGAGCTAAAATCTCTGTTATCTTGCTCAGTCGAAAGTTTTTTTAATCACTGTCCTGCTAAAAATTTGGAGTCGGATAGAATAACACGCAAAACATTAGTGCTTTTTTTACTTACTGAAACTTATTCAAAATGTATCAGTATATCATAAGCGATGGCAATTGTAGTGCAATTACTTTATACATTTATGGATTTCGAAAAAAAACATGCACACTCTATTATTGACAAAAGAAATGAATATGAAAATATAAGGTGTATATAACAGATAATATAATATAATATAATATAATATAACAGATGTACTAGCGTATTCTAGTACCTTAAATTGGAATATTTCATTCTAAAGTATACAAGGGCGTAATTAAAAGTGAGATAGGGTTGGGCTTGCCTAAAACAAAAATTTTTATATGATGAAGATACAATATATTAATTTTGATTTTAGGACAGTGATTTAATTTTATATTTATATACCACCCTATTATAACAAACTCCAATTACACCACTGAAAGTATGATTTTACATATTTTTTTTAAATATATAAAATTGGTCTGAATTAAATCGTTTATGTTGACAATTAATTATATAGACTACAGATAAACTAATCATAAATAAAAAAATGTAATGAATGTAATACGTATACATTTGACAAAAAAAATAAATTCGAGTGTAAACGAGTTCCCATTGAATGTGAACAATGAAAATATACAATTTTTTTTGTGAAAACCGAAAAACGATTATTTTTGGTTAAATATAAATTGTATTTCTAATTCATAAACATTATTTAAATTTATTAATTTAAACCGTGCACTATTAGTAGAGAGACTGGAATACAATACTACAGATTTTTTGCAGGTCAAGTAGGGACAAATAATAGAGAAAAAAATAAAATAATATATATTGTTGAGTAACAAATTATTTCACATACTACTAATACATGTTTACGAATAGAAGTTTCTGTCGTGAACATATGTCATTTTATATAAATTTAGAATTTATAAATTTATTTTAATGTTTTTATATAATTCTTATGTAATATTTGAAATACTAAAAGGTGTTGTTATTTGAACTTGTTTTTAGAAATATTTGTTAATATATTTATTAATTACCATTGATTCTATGGCATCAATACTTGTTGATTATAAATAACAGTTTGTATAATATAAAAAAGGGTTCTGACCGACTACTAGTTGGTCAGTGTTCCATCGGTAAATGTTACATTATAGTTATTATTTTGACTCTTCCCGAAAACACTTATCCGCGTGGTCGAATTGATCTTAGAATACTCAGTTTACCACACTTCTAACATGATAAAATTCATGTAATTCAAAATTAATGACATTTTCTTAAGTATGTAATAAAAAGTGTAGATAATTAAAGACATTAAGTTATCATGTCCAGTAAATTAAATTATAAATTTTTTATTTATACGAATGGGTAATAACTGTTGCTAAATTATTGCTTGATCTTATTATTATCCTAATGACAATTTTTAACTCGATAATAAAGAGATATTGATAACATAAGTGTTGGATGCTCTGGTGGATTATAAAATCTTAATTTACGTTTAGTTAGAAATTGATCAGTTATTACATCAGTAGGACCAGTTGGGTTTATTTGTGGTAGAAGGCTAGTCGTTAGAAAAATACGTGCTGTCAATAATTGACAGCACATATTTTATTAGATTTCTGTAGGTGTCTAAGGAAATAATTTCCTTAGACACCTACAGAAATCTAATTAGTGTGAAATACTACTAATCATATGTGATTTAAGAATTTTGTTATCATTTTAAAGTATTTTTTACTCTATTACAGTATTTGAAAATACAACCACAGAGGATGTACAAATAGATAACGAATGTTGTTACCATTTACCAGTAAATAGTTAAATATTTTGTATTATGGATTTCCATTTTAAACGAGTTCTAAGAAAGTGCGTAGAATTGCGTTTTTAAAATTTGATAAATTAATATATTAAAATTATTATTACATAAAAAAATTATATGAGCAAAATTATTTAAAAATTGTTTTCTATCATAATATAATTTAACTTGAAATAGATGTTTCCATCAAAGAAAATTACAGTTTAGGTTATTTAACCCTGAATAGAAAAAAATGACTTAAGTACACAATATTTTATTATTTTATGAACCTAATATTTCATCACTGAACAAAAATTTAAATTCTCAGTAGTTTCTGAGAAAATGAATCTTACCAAATTTAAATCGCCATGTATATAAAAAGTTGTCTGTAGTAATATTTAAATCGCGCCGTATTAAGCAAAAAATTTTTTGGATTTTTTAAAAAGTTTAGTCTAATCTCTTTTCAAAACAATTAATGATGTTACTAAGTAGAATTAGTCAGCTTATAGTTACAGTATGAATTATACAGTATTATTTTAGCAGTCAAAGCATTCTTTCTAAGCAATTAAACAAGTTAGTAGAGTAATTAAGTTTTATAAATTATAGTTTAATAAGTAATAAAGTTAAACAAAAAGCTCAAAGTAGAGAAGATATATTGTCCACAGTGTGCGTCAAAGAAAAAAATATTTAAGATGTTTTAAATAACAAAAACTTTTAACATTTTAAACTTAAAATATACATACAAATAGAAAATTTTTATTTAAAGTCCTAATTTTAATTATATGAAATTTAATTAGCTTTAATTCAACAAATAATGTCACAATTACTGAAAGTGGTGGTACTGTTTTTATTATACAATAGTGTTATCTATTTAAATATTAATAAAACAAAATGCATCTTGACCAATAGATGTCACTACAAGTATGATAGGTATCAAACTATAATTCTTTATGCTGCTTGTATAGGCGGCCTCGATCCTCCTCGCATTTTGCTGCTGTTTCCTTCCGACTGCTTTGAGATTTTCTCTTTATCATCTCGGCGTTTACAATGTATGTGTAGATGAATGTAAGTACGTGCGTGCGAGCCTATGTCCAGTGTATGTTCGTATGAGTGATTTTATTTAATTCGTTAACCTTCGCGTATCACAGTCTGATTGTC